TTTTTAATATTTACAAAGTTACATTAATTCAACTAATGATATTTTCAATCTTTACTCTTACAAAATAACATAATTCAATCTTATGAATCTTTTGCGTCTATCTTTGCTGAATTCTTCATAAATTTGATTGTTAAAATCACAGGAATGGAAAAATAACGAGCTCACAATAATTAAGAGAGACATTGTCGAACTTCATTTCGATTTTTTAAGAACAATAGAAATGACACTACGGTAAAGTAATAATTTAACAGATTTGGATAAAATTTAGGTTAATTTGATTAAATTGACTTTGTACTGAAAATTAGAAATAGAAAAATCATATTTTTGGGTTTGAGCTAAACTAACTAGTTAGCAAATTTATTTAGAAAAAATAAAATAATTTGATTTATATAAAATAAATTAATTAAAAAATTAGGGAGATTCAGTTCTTATTCGATTTGATTCGATTCTTGATCTAACCGTGAAATATTGTAGTTCGACCCAATCAACCCCTAGAAGGGGGGTGAATAGATATGCGAAATTTTCTTTTTCAATCAATTAATAATTGCAACACGTTACAAATATTAATTTGTCCAGATCAGTTCACATGCTTTACTATCCTATGTTTGAATGCCAGTAATAAATTAATTGCAGAAAAATAAATAACGGAATTGTTTGATGACGGAGATAACTGTAATATCGCGACTGTATTTTTGGTGGCGGAGTTTGTGCAGCTGGTGGAGGTCGTTAACTTGTGGTGGTTGCAGTTATGAATTTTGGAACTGTCATGGTGGTTGTTACGGCGAAAGTGGTGTTTCTCAACGACGTCATCGGATGCTTTTGACTTGCAATTCAATGATTTCCTCCATCCAGTCGCCATTAACGAACCCTTCAAGCTTTTAGCGTCCTTTCTTCTTCTTCTCTCCAGTTTCAATCTGTAGAGGGGAATTTTTAACAACCATAAACCCTGCAATAGTGTGAGAGTTGATAGCAGCCACAATGTCACACCCCTCATTTTTTTAGTCAAAGTCAAGGAAAAATATTTGGTCAAAGTCAAAGTCATTAAGAATTTAAGTTGAACAAATAACTTTTATGAGACTTAAATTGAAATTTCGAGTAATTGAAGGTTAGGAATGATAAAATAAAGGAATCCAAGGATTTAGTTTCTATTATGGGAAAAGAAATTACTAAATGTGATATTGTCCAAAGATGGTGGACTTGCCTTGCCATTATTTAATATTTACCCATTAAATAGCATTTATTTTATATATTTTCTCATATATTTTGGGGAAAGAGAGAGAGAAGAATCGAGAGAGACCGAAAAGAGGAAGAAGAAGAAGCGGAGGAAGAAGAAGAATTTTCAAGCTAGGGTTCTCAAATTCTTCAATTTCTCATTTGGTTTAGAACGGTAAGTATAAATTTATTGAATTAAATTTTTAACGGTTATGGAAAACTTGCTTTAATTCAAAGTCTAGCAAGAATTATGTGTTATTGATATGTATTTGATGATTAAAATAAGTATATGTCAAAGAAATAGGTATTTGGAAATTAGTGTTGAAGAAAGTGGAAACTTTGGCAATGGGTTTGTGATATAAAGGCATATTATTTGAAATTCTTAGAATTATGTGATGCTAAAAATCTAAATTAAGGATTTGAGGTTGAAATTCTCCATTTTTTTTATTAGCAATTTTCGAGTTTTAGAAAAACAGGTGCTAGTTTTGAAATTTTGCCCAGAAAGGTGCTATTTATGTCAATGTTTTTGGTGACATTATCAAGATACAAAATTGGTGCCAGTTTTCAATATTCTGGAATTATAGTGCTAGTTTTGTCAATCATTTAATTTTGGTGGATCTTTAGTATTGGAACCAAATTAAGTGTTAAATATTTGACGTTTTGGTGTTAAAATAATTTATATAAAGAAGTATATGTTGTTAAAGACTCTAAATGGGATTATGAGTTTGAAAATAAAATATGTGAAGTTTTCATTGGTAAATTCTTATTTTTAATAGTATGAAAATATTCAAGGAACGCTTGTGAAGGGATATGATTTATTATAACAAGAGCATGATATCATACTTGGAATTTGAAAGTGATGAGGCGACGAGAATATCAAAACCATGATCGACTATAACTTTGTGAGTGGATATAAGCTTATTTTCATAAATTAGTATTTATAAAATTTATATTAGTTCATAAAAAATATTATTTCATACAGTTGATTTTACAGCATGATTTTCAGAATAAAGTGAATTTATAATTAATTGTTCTTTTTAATGTTTGATTCAGTTCATTTAAATTATTTAATTACCATGTTATATGAGTTTTAAATATTTCAGTATATTTAAAGTTATTTTAAAACCATCAGAAAGTACCCAGGCGACTTTACCCTAGTCTGCACTTGCGTGAATGTGTTTCCACAGTGTATGAAACCATATGGTTATTTTACCCGCTCTGCACTAGTGCGAATGTGTTTCCACCGTGTATGATCAGTTATGGTGATTTTACTCGCTCTGCACTATTGTGAATATGTTTCCATGGTGTGTAACCAGAATTACCGAATTTCAGCTCTGCGCGCGTATGATTAGAATTACAGAATTGAATAACTTTGCCATGTCCGATACATGAGTATAGTTATTCCGGATACGTTTTTGGTGTGATTTTTCAGTATTATACAGTTTATCATATTTCAGATTATAAAATTCAGTTAATTCAGTTTTCAGAATAAAGCTTTCAGCTTATAGTATTGACCAGTAGCAATATTTCATAGATTTTCATGAATATCAGATTATTTGTTAACTTTACAGCTACTTATCTAGAATTAAGAATAAAGAATTGTATGAAGCAATCATGTTTTGGTTTTAAAAGTGTTACCAGATTTCAAAATTTCTTAAAGATTTAATAAAGTTAGAATTTTCAGAAAATATGTAGAAATGGAAAAAGTATATTTATTCGCAAATTATCCACTCACTGAGCTATAAGCTCATATGTCTTTTCATCTTTTTCCTTATCAGATAGTAGCTGAATTGAGCAGCTTTGGAGCCTGTCGTTCCGCCACATTGAGCCACGCATCATAGGTTCTATGGCCTACTTTACCAGATTATGTAGTACATGTTTCTTTGGGTTATATGTAGTTTATGTTCAAAAAGGTTATCATGGGTTCACTGCATATTTGGCGTCTTTAATATATTTGAGAATTGTTGGATGTAAAGAAAGGAAATGTTGATTTGACGACATTTTATTTGAATAGTTTGTATTTTTGAGGGACTAGCGTATCCTATTTATATTATAGGTATTGATTTGAGGAAAATTAGTTATTATTTAGTGGTTTTAGTTCATCTTTCAGGGAGAACTCTGTCAAAATTTTGTTAAAAATATTCTTCAGTCAAGTAAGTCAAGTTGCCTTGGTGATGGGTCCGGCGTTTACCTGGTATCTATCATCGGTGCACGACACGTGTCGAATCCATTAAGGTGATTCAGGACGGGTCGTGTCACACAATGTTGAGAGCTAGAGGTTGAGGCATTGTTGCTGGTGGTGGCGATTGGCAACTAGGTGTTTTGGTTTTGATTTTGGGGTGACGGGGTTGGGAGAGGAGGAAAGGGAATTTTATTTTGAAGAAAAAGATGTGCAATACCAAAATTGCCCTTGTTTTATTTGGAAAAAAAATTAAAATTTCATCTCTAGGGTTAACTGATGGTTTTGGTGGTCAAATAGACATAAACCGTTATTTTAGATTGGACATGCAAATTTTTTAAAGATTTGCTACATCCGATAAACAAATAAAAGATTTGAATTAAGTCTACTAAAAAACGAAAGGGTTTGATACTTTGGCTACGATTTTCCCTTTTACGGCAAGTTGAGGATTCAGATCTAATATGCTTCCTTCATATTGCTACAAGAAGTTGATCTTATCATTATTGAACAATATTTTTATTAGTTTTCGTAATTTCAAATTATGTAAAACTCGTCTACTTAGCATATTAAATATGCAATCTCTTAATTGACCTATTGAATATTGCGTAGTATTTAAAGAACGAGCAGTTCATCTGATCATTTCTTTAAACTAAAATGATTGACTAACAAGTAACAAGAAATATAGTCTCCGTTTGGTAGCAATTTTTCACCTATAAAAATCAATTTTTTTATCGTTATTTTACTATTCCATCCGTCATTTTGACTTCTTCATTCACTAACCCACTTTTCTCCTTAAGGATAAAAAAATCAATTCTCATAATTATTACTGAACATGTCTATAGAAACTTTACTCGTATACATTCATCTTCTTTAAAAAAAAAAAAAAATGAAAAAAACCTCAATTTTGACCTTTATTCAATTCCCAATTTATATATCATTAACGTCAATATTTACCTTTTTAGATTTAAAACTTAGGATCGTTATTAGTAACTTTAACTAAATAATCAGTCAGTACATACAATGAAACTAAATACGCCATCATCATAAACATCAATTATGATTAAAGAAAAAAGTAACTACTTATAATTTATAATTGTAGGTCAAAAGTCATGCGTTCTTCGTCATTCATTTTTACTGCTTTCCTTTTTGTTTCAATGAAATTTTTATTTTTTCATCGTTTCATTATAATAAAATATAATCCTTCGCATGTTTGGTACAGAATTTTTTCTAATCTCATTTTTTTTAAAACTCATTTTCGTTATACAGATTCTCCCAATAAAATAATTTTGAATATGGATTCGTAACTTTTCTTTATTTTTTAACTGTATACTCTACAAAAAAATAAATAAAAAAAATCACGTTTCACAAAATCGATTATTAAATAATAATCTACACCAAACATGCCTTGATTCCTTGAATGTTGATTAGTAAGAGACAAAGCCCATAAAACCTAATAAGTATTGTGTTCATTAAAATAATTTTGTTCAGATCAGATCCGATCAGAACAGCACAGCCCAGCCCAGCACCTTTCTCCGCATATCCCTCTCGCTCATCTAATCTTTGCCTTAATATCTCCAAAGAGAAGTTAAAATAAAAAATAATCAAATTTTTTCACAATTAATAATTAAAAAAAAAAAAATCATTTTTCACAAAAATGCTCCCCCCATGTTTTTCTGCAAATCCGTCAATCTCTCTCTCTCTAATTCTTTCTATCTCCAAAATATGATGTGCATTTCTGCAAATCTCTTCCGCCATTATTGAACCCTTGTCTTTCTCTTTCATTGTCTCTGTAGATTTATAAAAATATATATAACAATGGATGGTAATGATGTTAATAGTAATGATTGTGATATTAATAGTGCTGGGGAAAATTCATCAAACGCTTTACAAATTCAAGAGCAGCTACAGCAGGAGGACGAGCCTGTATCTGTAGATGATGACCAGAGAGTCTATTTAGTTCCATTCAGGTAAACACGATTTCAAATGTTAGTTTAGAGTTTACGCTTATATATTTCAAAAAGACATTAGGAAATATTGGATAGTGAAGAAGAGAGCAAATCTGATTTAGAGAGAAATGGAAGTCGTGTTTATTGAACTTAACATCATAGAACCAATATCTATTGAAAACCCAAATTGCGAAATGGCAAAATTAAAAGGGAAAAATACTTTTACACCCGTCTTTGTATTTATTTCCCTGGTTCGTATTGCATTTGGAATGTAGTTTGAAGAATGAACTAGCCATCTTATGGATCCTGTTGGATTTATTTGTTTTTGAATTTTGATTTTTCTGTGGATTTGTTTCTTTCTTGCCTTTTATGTTTCTTTAAACTGAAATTATAGAATTGAGAATGCTATCGCCTTGTTGCATTTTTGAATAAACTAAGTAGTATATTGCTGTGCCTCCTGGAGAATTGACTTGGAAAGCTTCTAAGAACAGAAACGTTACAATGGAAATTGAAAACATACCTGATACTATTATTTTATTTTTATTAATTTTCTTTTTTTGTTCAACTGATGAGTGGTATTGGGAGCGTTGAGTGATATTTTGAAATAAACAGTAAGGCTTTGTTTGTCTACCATTTTACTACATTATTTGTTCTACAAGACTCATTTTCAACCACACATTCTTCATTAAAATAGTATCACACGTAAATGAAAAAAATTTCCTTCTTTTTTAACCATATATTGCAACATCAATTACTATTTCATAATATATTATTGACAAATGAGGCACAAACACCCCCTAAATATATTACTTTGGATATTTTTGACTTTGCATTTGTTTGTATGTTTGTATTGGGGTGTTCTTTAGATGGTTGAAGGAGGCACAAGACTCTTCCTCATCGGAAGTGAAGAGAGGAATCTTTTATGCCGTGTCATCTACAACACCATGTGGGGGAGCAATGAAGATATTCAATAGTATATTCAACTCAGACATTGCATTTAACTTGAGGAAAGATGACGATTCATCCTTGAACAATGGCACAAATGGTGAAGTCGGGATAACTGGTCGGGACTATGCTTTGGTCCGCAGCGAAATGTGGCTGTCTGTACTCAAGTGGTTAGTAAGTTAACTGAAATCTGCATTAATTTGTATGCTTTACTCAAGTTTCCTCTTTCTATTGCGTCATTATGTAGTTGATTCAAATATGACAAATTTTCAACTTGCAACACTGCTCTGCACTCAACTGGTCAGTATGTTCACTGAAATTTATCTTGTATGCTTAGCTCGATTTTCCATTTTCTATTGGGCCATTCAATATGATTAGGTATCAATTTGCAACACTGCATTTGTTGGAGATGCATTGTACAGTGCTGGAAGAGTTGGCTAAGATTTTAGTAATAGCTCTGGAGTGCTGAAAGTGTTAATTCACTGTGTTGTGCCACCTGTGCACAAGATGTCTTTATCGCTGCCAATTGCCCTGTGCATTTTTTACTGTTTTGGCTTGATGTGAGCGAATTCTCCAGCATTTAAAACTTCATCGTTCTTGCTTGTTTGGAAATATCTATCAACATCGTCTTATACAATTAGCTGTCCCACTCTTGCACTTGGAAGGTAGTGGAATTCGATTTGTTTGGTGTGATGTCTATGCAGATTTTATCTCCCTCTTTAGATGCAATTTTAATTCCCCGAAATCGTCGGTTTCAATTATTGTTCTGTTTAGTTTTCTTTTATAGTGGCAGAGGTGGGGTGGAATTGTGGAATGCCATATTTGAATAATATCAATAAATTTGTGGACTTTCTGCCAATGTCTTCTTCCAAGTTAAAAAGGGAAATTGGTGGATGCAAGTACTGGGCTGTTAATCTTCTTTCTGATTGTTGATGTGGTCGAATTCTTCTGTTCTGTCCAGGCACAGTAATTCCAAGAATGCAACGAAGGACAGCAAAGGTTTTTTGGCTGCAGAAGATATGTCGGATGTTTATCCTCTGCAACTCAGGCTCTCTGTTTTGAGGGAAACCAACTCGTTGGCAGTAAAGATAAGCAAAAAGGTCAGTAATCTCTGAGCTAGTTTCTCTGTCTCGCTTCCTGTTCCCATTGATAATGGCATGCTTGCTTGCCATGAGATGCACAATATGGCTTGAGTGATTCATTGCCTCTCCTCTCTGTTATCTAATATTATGTTCTTGATAAACATTGTTTTTTTGAAACTCACATAGGGAACTCCAATGTTCTAGATATCTTTCCTTAGTAAAGGGGTAATTTAATGAAGTAGCAGCTATAGATCTAATATTTGTTATAAAGTTCTGCATGTAAATTATAGCAAGCAGGTCTCAAGGTATAAGAACTTGAAGTCTTATATGGGTAGCAGCATAAGTTTAACTGTCTTCGTTCACGATACTAATTCTGTAAGGTAACTGCACGTTTCAATCATGTTTAAAATTTTATTTTTGTCATTGCATATGTTAAGTTGATGTTGGGACAGGACATGGCCTTGTGAATCCACTTGCCGCGACTAATTGATTTATATTGCTAGAAAACATATTCTCCGTTTACAATCAAACCTCCCTTCATATCTTGGTGGTTGATAGCTTTGTAAAGTTTATTAATGTATATTAGTGTTAGGTTTGCCACTTGATTTCTTGGTTGTCCATGGCTCGAACAATTGTTATAGAATGGTCATCTGTAGAGGGGCTTACCTACTGTTAAATAGTCCTTAGTCAACTCACTGTGAATCATCTGTTAATATAATTCTGATGGAGAGACATGTAAGCTGAAAACTGCACTCAATCTTAAGGGTGGCATTTTCATTTTTTTTTTCCTGGTAGTTTGAAATGTTTGATGTGGTATATGGGAGGATTACTGACATACAAGGATGGTAACAAATTTGAAGAATGCTGACGGGTGGGCTCATTAAAGGATCTTAAGTTCTTTACTTTTTGTGTCTGAAAATTGCAAGTAATGGTCTTTACCCGTCTAGTTTATTGCTGGTGGGTGTCTAATGATGAAATTGTCACAGAAAAACTAAAGCATGTTTTACAAATTTAGCATCTGAAACATAGAAATGTTGAAAAATTATAATCTGTGTCTTAAGCATCCCTTTAATATACTAGGTTAAAGGTTGGATTGAGTGGGGATTGCATGGCCCCGCATGCAGTGAACTTGAACATGTTGCATCTGATGGCTGGTGAATGCCCCAGGGTTATTGTCGCCCATTAGTTGTAGAGAGTTGGAGGTCCCAACTTATAAGTGGGAACTTCTGTTTTATTTTCTGATTTGGCTCAACTATTTTGGCCAAATTGAATATTAGGCCCTAGTGGTTCTTAAGGCTACAATTTGGTCACGTTTGTGAAACTAGTTGTGGGGAGTGTGACGGTATGAAAGTGGGTAAACACTAGTCATGTGGATACTAAGCGCTATACTGGAAAATTGCTAATTCTGAATGGTAGCAACAACCTTTTCAACACTTATGAGTTTCATCTGGAATCCAAGTTATCTTTTAATTGGAGAGGGTGATTGTAGTACTCCATGTAAAAGTAGAACGGCCTAACCTACCATGCCAAAACATAATTTCATTCTCCATGGGAATTAAAATGGCTTAACCACTATGCCATTGTTAGGAAATTAGACCGCTACTAATTCCGCCAGGATCAGTGGGACGCAAAATAATTTAAACTGAGAAGAAATAAGTGTAGCAAAAATAATAAGTGCAAGTGATACAAGAATTTACGTGGTTCGGCAATCGTGCCTACGTCCACAAACCCACACCAATTCTTTTACTGTATCAACAAGAGAATAAAAGAAATACAACAAATACACTCTCTGTATTTTATTTGCCTACTCAAAGACAATCTCTCAATTTTCTTTCGTTAATTTTCTATACAAACGAAAGCCTAACTGCTTCTCACTTTGTGTTTTGCTCACTATCTCTCGTGTTTTCACTGTACAGGATTTTCTTGCACTTCTCTTTTGCTCTACATTTTTGCACCTGCTTTGGCCTCCAATTTATAGAGAAATTCTCACCATCCTCATTAAATGCATGTTCATCAATTTCAACAAAGTTGCCTTGCATTAAATGCATGGCAAAATCTTCTTCCAAAACAATTCCGTTTGCATGGTTGAAAGTTTCTCCATTCACATTGTTTTAGTCAACAATTGCTACCACAATTTGGAAAAAATTTGTCTGACACCATAGAAAAATTGTGAAGCCTAAGTTATAGGCTCCAAAATTTCAACAGCCATAGCATCATATTCCAAGGAAACAGAAATAGTACTAGCTGTTTGAGATTGTCCACGCAAGTGCTACAAAATTGAAAGGTTTGAGACTCAAATGCTACATTATTCATAAATTGTGACGTCTGCGGTAAATTTTCAAATATCTGAGATTAGGATAGAACCTTTTCCTTCCAATTGATGAGAGAGGAGCATTGGCAAATTTTATTTTCAAACAAGGATTATGGGATGAAAATAACTTGAAATGATTATGACACGTCATGTGTTCAGTGGCCTTTAATTAGAAGAGATATTCAAGGCCTTTAATTAGAAGAGATATTCAAGGCTAACATGAAATTAACTTTTTGGGCTAAAGAAGAAGTTAAGGGACTAGCCAATTGAGATTGACTTAGAAAATGTATACAGTTGTTCAAGTTGTTTCCAAAGACTGATGTCTCCGTATCTCCTAGGGCTACAAGTAAAAAACCCCAAACGACACCGTAATGATGATTTTGTAATTGTTGGGTTGAATCCACGTGGACTCTTTAGCTGTTCTATTTCTTTTTCTTTTATTTTTTATTTTTTTGCCCAACTTATAGCAGTAGTTGAACCTAAAGCAAATCACTTAAGGATTTACTGGAAGGATAAAATACCACAAGAGGATATTCTTATGGAAATTGATTTAAAGCAACTTCCTCTAACAAACATGAAGCTCACTTGCGTGCTTAAGCTCCAATTGCAATGAATCTATGATGCCGACTTCTTCAGAAACTGATTCTCCAAACCATGCACAATTTTTAACACAGAAGTTGCTCCTACTCTTCAGCTTCAGCTTTTGCTGCTATTTCAATGCATAATTGCTCGGCTTGTTCTTCTGTGCTTCCACTGCTATGTGAATCCTTCTGTCACAAATTTAAATATTTATTTCTTGGAGATCATTTGTGCAATGTTTTGATTTTATATTTGCTTCTGTGTTACCTCCGACCACTTTAGTGAAATCTGTATAAGTAGGTAGTTACCACTTTCTATATGTTTCTAAATAGCATTTTGGGACGAATTCGTACAGCAAATGCGTAGTTTGGTTTGGGCAGTTCCCTTGATAGGGTGTTTGGCTTTTTCTGAAAACTATTTTAAATCATTTGTTCGAAAGTAGGCCCAAACAGTCCTAACCAAACCCTTTACACAACTATCTTCCCCAGAATTCATATCTGATTGCTATCCGTCAGCATCTGTGCGTAATCCCTTTGAACCTCATCAAGTACCTCTATGATGGATGAAATAGGCTCCTTTTAAAAAGTGCATCTCTTTACTTCATCACGTTCTCGGCAATAAAGATTGATGGACAAATTCCCCATTTCATAGCAAATAAGCTGAATCGTCAAAATTATGTTTCTCCCGTGATTTATGTCATAAACAATTTAATCGATTTCAGTAGGGTATTGAGTTCTCCAACCATGAAACTCAATTCCAAATTGAATATTATAAATTTCTTAAATAGTACTGTAGAGTACATTGCTATTTATACACATACTGAATAGAGATACTAAGCGGATTGAGAGAATTTCGGAACTTGATTAGTTACTTAAATCTCTACACATAATCTTGTATCTGTGCTAGAATTAAAATTTAAATCTTGCATTTCAGAGATTACCATTAGCTAGATTGTCTAGATGGTTCATTATGTTTTCTCCTTCGCTGACATCACTTTGTCTTACTTTTCAGGACAATTCAGTTGAATGCTTTAGGAGAGCCTGCAAGATTTTTAATGTTGACTCCGACTCGGTGAGTTTGTTAGTTTTTTACTTTTTAATGCTGGAAATACTCTTTATCTTGGAGATTAATGGCCTACCTCTACACGGTGCAGTTACGGCTTTGGGATTTCTCTGGGCAGACAAGGCTGTTTTTCTTAAATGACGAAAATAAGTTCCTTAAAGAGTCCCAGAAGCAACCAGAGCAGGATGTAAGTTGTAGTCCAATCGACATTGCATCAAGAGACAATGGACTTTTCTTAAAGGGTTATCCATCTTTATTTTTAATTGATTCTGCAGTCTGAAATGAAAGAAAGTACACGTGATCCCTGTTTGCTATTGGACTTCTAAATTTCCGCAACTCAGTGTGGTTCTCTATGATGTTCTTTTATTAGAAAAATAAATAAATGCGATGATGCCGTGTCTGAAATGATATCCAAATTTTGACAGTGATGACATTACATTCCATTTTTCTGGGAAAATGCCTTGTCTGAAATGATATCCAAATTTTGATGGTGATGACATTACATTCCCATTTTTCTGGGTGTAAATTTGTTTGCATCATACTGTATTCATCAGCTGTTTCATAGATGAACATGTTGTAGATCATGAGTTTCTGTTTTATGTTGCACTATTTTGTTATAAAACTTCCAGTACTCTATCTAAATCCCTTTTGTTTTTTTCATTTTTTTTTTCGTTTTTAATTTTTACAGCTGTTCCCTGGAATTATCCACCCAATCTTCATGCAATTTGTCAACACATTGATTTACTTCCTTAACAATTTTTTTTCCAGCATATGTTTTCCATTATATACACTAACCTCTAATAACTTCTTATCTTCTATCATACACAGCTTCTCCTTGAATTGCAAGTTTATGGCTTGTCAGATTCTGCTAGGAATAGAGGAGCAAAAAGAGATGGGATGATGCAACATACTAATGGTACTTCACATTTGATGAATGGTAACACCATCAATGGCAGCTTTAGTCTCGTCCGAAGCAATTCTTCAGTCTTATTTGGAAGTTCTTGCGAAGCTGGAACCTTGGGACTGACTGGATTACAAAACCTGGGGAATACTTGTTTCATGAACAGTGCTCTTCAGTGTCTAGTTCACACACCAAAGATTGTGGACTACTTTCTTGGAGATTACAAGAGAGAAATAAACCCAGACAATCCATTGGGCATGAATGTATGTTGTCCTTTCTGTTTGGACTTTGGGATTTCTTTATGTGTTCTGATCACATCTACTTTTTCTATATTTCCTAAACTTTTTCCTTATCACGGTGTTGTTTTGTCGTGTCTTGATTTTTAACTATAAGAGAATGTTTCTTTCTGCTCAGAGATAATTCCATGAAAGATGTTTCATTGCCTCTCTTAGATGCCATCCTTTTATGTAAAATCATATATATGTGTGTATTTAGCACTAATGTCTTTAGAATTATTATCAGACTTATGATTGGGAGAATACAATACTTTATGAAGTAAATATGTAGGAAATGTACATTGATTCTGCATTATCATGCAATTTATACATGATTACAGAATCACTAGAGAATCCTTGGATGAATTGCTGGAATGAATTTTGGTGATTCTTTGGAATTCCTGGATTCAACTGGGAAATGAATCCTGTTTGAAAGATTACAAGTAGTCTTGTATATATAAAAATATTTGGGCAGGCAATCCATCTCCATGTGTATAGGTTTTTGGATGGATATTTTGGAGATTACATGAAGTAGAGACTAGGATCAGTTTTGGTTCCTTATGTGCTTTCTCTATGTACTCATTGTATCTAATATTTTGACCAATGAATTTTACTTGTCAAAAAAGATTATTAACTGCTTATTTGTTGGACAGGGTGAGATTGCTTCAGCTTTTGGAGACTTGTTGAAGAAACTATGGGCTCCTGGAGCAACTCCAGTCGCACCAAGAACATTCAAATTGAAGCTTGCTCATTTTGCTCCTCAATTCAGTGGTTTTAATCAGCATGATTCTCAAGTTTGTTCCATTTTTTCTTATACTTAATCTTTGTCCAAACGCCTTTCCATAAACTTCATTAGTGCATTTGCATTTTATGAGTTGCTGCCTGTTAGATAGTGGGAGAATCATGTCTACCTATGAGGATTATAATATTTTCCTTGATTTAAATACTTTAGGAGCTCCTAGCATTTTTGTTGGATGGACTCCATGAAGATTTGAATCGTGTGAGGTGCAAACCATATGTTGAAGCTAAGGATTCAGATGGTCGACCAGATGAAGAAGTAGCCGATGAATATTGGAGGAATCATCTGGCTCGTAATGACTCAATTATAGTTGATGTCTGCCAAGTAAGTGTATTTTCTTAGATTATTTTGCAACATGGAATGCATGTTTGCTGTAGTGATTGATTTCTTTTTCCCATGGTACGTTAGATTTGCTAGTTTATTCATTGTGTTTTTTTGGTTTTTCGCCATTCGGAAAAGTAGGAATTGAAGGCTCTGTTTTTTTGCTCTCTGAATACCACTTGTGCAAGTGCCGAGGTGGGGGTTTGGCCTGTATGTATACCGCTTTGTCATTTGGAAAATTGGAATTGAAGGCTTTTTTGTATACAGAATTGCATTTTTAAGATCCTCTTTGTTAAGGACTAAGACAATCATTGATTTTACTAGGTTTAGACGCTTTCTTGAGCCAAATTATAGTATTCCATCTTCTTCTTGATGATGTGAAACTTTCAGATTGTTCGATTGCTTGTAAGGTTTAAATCTTAATTGGTGCCTTCTATTGGAATCTAGGTGGATCAGTAAACCATATGAATCTGATATCTGCTATTAGTATCAGTAATTTTTTGTTTTGTAATTCTTTCCTAAATAACTTGCACTAATTTAAAATTTATTTGTCATCTGAGGGCTCCATGGCCTTTGATATTTGAAGGAAAACAAAAGAATGCTCACTGTTTTTTCATGTGTTCTTTAGAATGCCTTCCGGACTGACATATCTTGGATAACATTAATGCAGGGTCAATATAGATCCACATTAGTATGCCCCGATTGTAGAAATGTGTCTGTTACTTTTGATCCATTCATGTATCTATCATTACCTCTGCCATCAACATCAACACGGACCATGACTCTAACAGTGGTGAAAACTGATGGCGGCACTCAGCCATCCCCATTTACTGTTAATGTTCCCAAAAATGGAAAACTTCAAGATCTCCATCAGGCTTTGAGCAAAGCATGCTCATTGGGGGTTGATGAAGCCCTGTTGCTGGCTGAGGTAAACCTAAAGCAATTGCACTAATATGTTAAGCATATTGCAAGCCTTCAGAGTTTTGTCCGTTGTTTCTATCTGTCAATATTATTTTCATTTCGATCTCTTAGACGTAATAGTTATGTACAGATATACAACAGTCGCATTATACGTTTCCTCGAGGAGCCGACTGATTCGTTATCTTTGATTAGAGATAATGATCAACTAGTTGCGTATAGGTTGCCGAAGCATATTGAGGAAGCTCCTCTGGTCGTGTTTATGCACCAGCAGATCGAAGAGTAAGCCCCAGTTTGCATATTGATTGACCAAGCTTCACTGCTTCATATACTTTTGCTTGTATCTGTCATTTAGAAATTGGTTCTCATTTGTCTGGATGACAATGGAAATGAGTTTGTCTTGTGAATCTCTGAGAGCTTATGGCTTCGATAAACAAGTAACCTAAAAATTTGGACTTATATTCAGTCTAAGCGTTTCCTGTTAATCAGCAGCTACTGCAAATTGTGAATCAATGTGGAGACATCTTGATGAACTTTCCTTTTACTGTGGAATATAAGTATGTAATAATGAGAGATGCTATTGAGTTCCGCCAAGTATGGAACACGACCCTGACTGCCTTCTTTCAATTGCCTGTCTCTTGTTGATTTCTTGCTCATAATTCACTTCAACTTTTATTTATTTTATTTTTTATTTTTAAAATCCTTGTTTTCGTAAGGGAAACGAGACAAGATAATTTTGAAAATTTACCTTTTCTCAGCTCCAGCTTTTGACTTCAATCTATGTACTTAAATATTTATTCAGGCTACATACGTACGGGAAATCAACACCAAGTTGGAGGGCATTTGGAATTCCCCTTGTAGCACGTAAAAACATTGTTAATGGATCTGATATCCGTGAAACATATTTGAAATTACTAACTCCATTCTTAACATGCAATGAAGATTCAACTGCAAATCGTTATAGCACAGAGAACACTACAACCGATTCTACTGAAAATCGTGATAGCACAGAGAACGCTGCAACTGATTCTACTGAAAATTGTGACAGCTCAGAGAACACTGCTACAGAAGTGATGATCAAAAAGGAAAACTCCACTAGTCCTAGTTGGTCCCCTGAGAAGGTTGAGGCAAAAGAGCTTTATACTCAGTCTGATACTGAATTACAGTTTTATTTGACGGATGAAAAAGGAATAGTCAGGGGCTCTAAGATTGCAATAGAAGAGCCTGTGAAGTCCACACCCATGCCAGACCGATTGAATGTTCTTGTATGTTGGTCAGGTAAAATGGTTCAGCAGTACAATGTACAGCCTCTTAGCTTGTTACCAGAAGTTTTCAAGTCTGGCTTCTTCACAAAAAGACCACAAGACTCTGTATCTCTCTATAAATGCTTTGAAGCATTCCTGAAGGAGGAACCTCTGGGACCAGAAGATATGTGGTTAGTGTTCTGGTTATTAGCTTCTGAACTATCTTCTTTTAATGTTCTTTCTAGCTTTTCTGTGTGTCACTTCTGTGTAGTGTACGATGACATCTTGTGTGTTCATGTGTCTATTTTCTTTCTGCGAATTTATTGCCCTTCGTTGGAGAATTAGGGTTTATAATTCTCAACACAATTTATATTGTTCCTCTTCTTTTCTGTCATCCCACCTGAAATTGATGCATTCAGTTGGAAGCTTTTGCTTTTGCAGTAAAAAAATTTTCTAATCTGTTTTGCATTACTGGTACTAGGTACTGTCCGGTTTGTAAAAAGCATTGCCAAGCCAGTAAAAAATTAGATCTTTGGAGACTGCCAAAAATTTTAGTGATTCATTTGAAAAGATTCTCATACAACCGATTTCTGAAGAACAAATTGGAGGCATTTGTTGACTTCCCCATTCGTGACCTTGATATGTCCTCTTATATTGCCTGGAAGAATGGACAATCTTCACATCGTTATTTGCTTTACGCAATTAGTAATCATTATGGAAGTATGGGAGGTGGTCACTACACTGCATTTGTTCATGTAAGTCTTGCTTCTTCTTCATAGTGATTTATTTTTATTTGTTTTATTCTTGCCTTAATATCTTTATCAAGAAAAACATCCAACTACTTAAAAGCCTATTTTTAAGATTAAAATACATGACGTAATAGAATATGACAAAGTTACATTGCCGTCGCTTTGAAACAAATGTTATCAATTGATATCTTCCTGATTTGCAGCAGTTCATTGTCTGTCATTTGATTTTCAATTAGACTATATTGTATACAAGATTGTTTTTGTTATGACTTACTAAATGTACAAGTTTGCTACATTTTATTTAGTACCTATGTTCTGATTATAAATTAATTTATAGTGTTCGATCAAGTCTTAAAATGAAAGACCATTGTTTTGACATTTTTAATCCTTAATTGGCATGTGCATTGTCCATCAATCCACAGTTTGCATTGGGACCGCATTATCCCACCATATGGGCACCTGTACATTTCGTTATTTAATTATCTTGATACGCCATGAGGTTAAGAAGTATGGATTAAAGGATTATGACATTTTCGATTTCTTAACATATAAAACTGCATATATTAGAAGCTTTACGGATTCTGTTTAATTATTCTAACTCATCGTTCTGATGTAGCATGGTGGCAATCAGTGGTATGACTTTGACGACAGCCACGTGTCTCTCATCAGTGAGGACAAGATCAAAACTTCGGCCGCCTATGTTTTATTTTACAGGAGAGTCGAAGATATCTAACTTTTGATGACAGCAACTGACTATTGAAGGTTGATTTGTCCATTTATCGGGTAGTCTCCGAAGAATTGTATCAAAGGGTAGGATTCTTTTGTCTTGGGCGTCTTATAGTTTGTAATTGTCAAGACTGAAAGCCTTTTAGTATAGCAGGATGCCAAGGACTGTGTAACATATTACAAACTGAAATTAGAAGTTCATATTAAGGTACAAATTTTACTCAAAGCCTTGTGTTGACAAGGAGTTTTACCTTTATTTTTCTCTATGAAGATCGGACGAAATTGTCTTCCTGCCCACAGTGCGTAGGATAAGCTACCTACTTGTTAATGTGGCAGGAGAATCTTATGTAAGATTCTCTTCAAAATGGATGAGATAAAATTTCCCATCGTTAGCCGGAGAACACGAGCGATCCAAATAAAGAAAAATGTTGCATTTAAACTCATTCTCGGTCTCTCAATTGCTCTTGGTAACCTCTTTAACACAACCAACCAAGCCAATTCTACTCGAGGCATTTGCCGCCATTTATTTTTGGTGCTCAACTGCTGTCTTTGGTTTTTGCTACTCAAATGAGTTTACTTATTGTCTAGCAATGAACTTTGTAGAAATGCTGAAGAACTAAATTCGCCTTCAACTTCATTGTCCAATCATCATTCTAATTTTGAATTGCAACCTAAAAACTTCACTTCTAGGGTGAATTGGTTTTGCTTTTTGATGAAGAGCATATTCTTCATGATATTGATTACCAAAAAATTGAATAGAAAATAGATCGATTTGAGAAGAAATCATTATCAATTTAAATTGTTGTTTTCTTAACTTTCATCAATGAATTTGGTAAAGAATGCCAATCGTCCATCTAATTTTGAAGCAGCACTGAAGTCTCTATCTCGAGACACTGCTACTGGGGACATTATTATATTTTTCAATCAATGTAAATCCAACGTTGTTATGTATATTTAATATATTAAAATTGTATAAACATAAGGGGAAAAAAATTGAATTTCTTTATGAAAAACTAATTGAGATAGAATAGTATATCTGCATGCAAAACTCAAGGTATTGTCTTGCCATTAGAATGGATAATTAGGCAGAAAAGATTAGTTTAAACTAAGTGGAAGTCCGAACCAACTGATGTTGAAGAATCGGGATGAGTTGTCACACTCGAACCCAGAGCTAAGCCACCTACAGACGCTTTACGTCCAATCATTTTGGATAACGCTTGCATCCTCTATCTTATTGTAGTTGGGCCGTGAACTTCTTTTCCTGGAGAAGAAGTAATGACGGTATCTAGGAAATAAGCATAATCAAAAATTGGATCTACATTGGATCTCACTCGAATCGCCCCATCTATCCTCTTGAGGAGAGGTTTGGTTTCAAACCCTGATTTGAACAGAAGGAGTACGTCATGCTAATGTGCATTTTTTTGTTTTGAAAAACCAGTTGAGTAATAATTTTGTTGGTAAATCAAGTATTTAAGTAATTAAATAATACAAAATTTCGGTAATTTAATTTTTAATTCTTCTCTGACCATTTAAGTGAGTTTTTTGGTCAGCTCATGCCCCATTTCAGCAAAGAGAAAAATTATCATAATTCCAAACTTAGAGAAATAGTCTTGTTCGACCATCTTTCGTAAAAGTTTGTGAATTTCACAACCCTTCATCCTGCACCTGTCACGTCTTAGTGGAGTGCATTGAAGTTCATCAAAATGTGATATGACTCTAGGATTTAAGATTTTTGTTTAGTTATATTATAAATGGTTCGATAAAATATTTCTTGTCTCCTAAATTTTCGTTATGAATGTATGAGTGCCGTCAATGTTAGTGCCAATTAGAAAAATTCTCAGAATGTGATCAAGAATTCGCATATTATCGTGGCCTTCGTTAGCGACTTGTGACTTCATGTATGTGACTACTAATGTGTCGCATCGCTTATATTGATGGCCACATTGTTTGGTTATTATGGGAGAAAATAACTAATTTTTGTAGCAGAAAAAATGTTATAGTAGATATATCAAAAATGAATTCATTAATTTTACATACAAAATCTGTTATATATCACAATATTTTTAAAATGATTTGATTTTTGCAATTTTGCCATAGGTTTGTCATTTTGAAAACATAAATTAAAGTATTGGTAGCTATCAATTTTTTTCCCCCTCTTGAAAACATTATGTGCATATTGATTGTTAGGTTGAACAATATTAAGATTTACTGCACATTTATGATGGAAAGAGCACATTGGGGTGGACTTGAGAAAAAAAGATATTTATCCTAAGTAAAAAAAAAAGGTAGCTTCTTAATCTTTTTTTCAACGTTATCTAAAAGCATCGCGAAAAGACTGTTTATTTTAAAATAGTACATTTTGCAATTTAGAGAGCATCTATAAATTAAAATAAGTAATGTTTTTTAAATCCCCTAACAAACTCTTTATATTTAACACTTAATTTTACTATTACCCAAAAATATTTGTTGTTTTTTCCCATATTTATTTTCACTAATTTCCCGCTCAATTATTATATTATTTTTTTCATTGAAAATTAAAATATTATGAATGCATTTAATTATAAGAAATGGGTTTAGCTCTTTATTTAAAAATATTAATTTAAAGAGTCTTTTAGAGCATAATTTTAAGGGTTAATTCTTTAAAATAAAAAGTATCTTAATTATGTTTAAAAAATTTCTTAAAGATGCTCTAATTAAGTTATCTTATAAAATACGTCATAAAAATATCTCGAGTAACGTATTGTTGATTTTCTAAAACACACACCATGACACACCCCGCCTCGTGTAACACCACTAAATCCGGACATAGAATACGCTGATGATAGATACCAACTAAAAGTCGGACCCACCATTAAAGCTACTACAAATACAATATATCACTTTTTATACATCATTTTTCTAACAAAATTTCGACATTATCTCCCCTGTAAAGAGTACTAACCAATCTGTGATCAATTTCACACAAATCTCAAACTATAGCACAGCACAATAAAGATAAGCCGAAATCTCAACCTTTACCAAGAAATAAAATGAAATATACATATGGATACAAAATACATAGTAAGCCCCATAACTATCTACAAGTGATGCAAAATCACATCTAGATATGAACATGCGTCCCAAAACACTGATTACATGTTTTATGAAGTGAGTCATACTAATAAACTATGTCGTGTGGCTCTGACTCCAAAATCAAGGCTCAACTCCAAAAGATGCCAAGATTCTCAACTGTTGCCTGATAAGGAAAAATGTGGAAAAATATATGAGTTGATAGTTCAGTGAGTGGAGAAATTCAAAATAGATATAATTTTACATTTATACATTTTTATTGTATATTGATGGCCACATTGTTTGGTTATTATGGGAGAAAATAACTAATTTTTGTAGCAGAAAAAATGTTATAGTAGATATATCAAAAATGAATTCATTAATTTAACATACAAAATCTGTTATATATCACAATATTTTTAAAATGATTTGATTTTTGCAATTTTGCCATAGGTTTGTCATTTTGAAAACATAAATTAAAGTATTGGTAGCTATCAATTTTTTTCCCCCTCTTGAAAACATTATGTGCATATTGATTGTTAGGGTGAACAATATTAAGATTTACTGCACATTTATGATGGAAAGAGCACATTGGGGTGGACTTGAGAAAAAAAGATATTTATCCTAAGTAAAAAAACAAGGTAGCTTCTTAATCTTTTTTTCAACGTTATCTAAGAGCATCGCTAAAAGACTCTTTATTTTAAAATAGTACATTTTGCAATTTAGAGAGCATCTATAAATTAAAAAAAGTAATTTTTTTTTAAATACTCTAACAAACTCTTTATATTTAACACTTAATTTTACTATTACCCAAAAACATTTATTGTTTTTTTCCCATATTTATTTTCACTAATTTCCCGCTCAATTATTATATTATTTTTTTCATTGAAAATTAAAATATTATGAATGCATTTAATTATAAGAAATGGGTTTAGCTCTTTATTTAAAAATATTAATTTAAAGAGTCTTTTAGAGCATAATTTTAAGGGTTAATTCTTTAAAATAAAAAGTATCTTAATTATGTTTAAAAAATTTCTTAAAGATGCTCTAATTAAGTTATCTTATAAAATACGTCATAAAAATATCTCGAGTAACGTATTGTTGATTTTCTAAAACACACACCATGACACACCCCGCCTCGTGTAACACCACTAAATCCGGACATAGAATACGCTGATGATAGATACCAACTAAAAGTCGGACCCACCATTAAAGCTACTACAAATACAATATATCACTTTTTATACATCATTTTTCTAACAAAATTTCGACATTATCTCCCCTGTAAAGAGTACTAACCAATCTGTGATCAATTTCACACAAATCTCAAACTATAGCACAGCACAATAAAGATAAGCCGAAATCTCAACCTTTACCAAGAAATAAAATGAAATATACATATGGATACAAAATACATAGTAAGCCCCATAACTATCTACAAGTGATGCAAAATCACATCTAGATATGAACATGCGTCCCAAAACACTGATTACATGTTTTATGAAGTGAGTCATACTAATAAACTATGTCGTGTGGCTCTGACTCCAAAATCAAGGCTCAACTCCAAAAGATGCCAAGATTCTCAACTGTTGCCTGATAAGGAAAAATGTGGAAAAATATATGAGTTGATAGTTCAGTGAGTGGAGAAATTCAAAATAAATATACTTTTTCATTTATACATTTTTATTGAAAATCAAATTCATATCATTTAATAATTCACAAGCTACCATCATGTAATTATAGCCAAAAAGTGAAATATTCACATAAGGTAATAAAATATCATCTTAAAATCATGATATAACATCAGCTGATAACCATGCTATAATCTCATCACATCAAACGTGTTGAAAAATTCACCAAAAATATACCCTCTGACTGAAATATGTAATCCGCCTTTCGGGCTAAGAACTTTAGCCACGGGCCTTTGGCTCCCTTCGTGAACAAAAATCGGTCTCAAAAACATCTCATAATCAATTCTAGAACACTGCCAACGCCCCTCTGTAAACTTATATGTACATGATCAAGACCAATGTCAGGTCAAGACCCTCCATGTAGGATAGAACACGGCCAATGCCCTCTGTGAACTAAAAGAAGTATATAATCATGGGTACTTTTCTGATCGATCTCAATATTGCATGTCTCACATACCAAACAAATCTCAATATCACATGTCTTACATATCAAGTCACAAATATGCCATAAATAATCTTTGATATTCCACATGTATCATAATAAAAAAGATTTCCATAATAAACATGTAATTCGAACACATAATTGTATATAATTGCACATAGTTTAACAATATACTTAATTTATAAATGTTTTTAAAATATTTATATTTTTCCACTCACAGAACTATGTACGCCAAAATCAACTCGATTGGTACGTTGTCTCGATATCCGTATCGTCGCCTGAAATATGATATCATTTTTAAATCAATAATTAACTATTTTAAGAAATTTCATTAATTAAATAGGCAATACCCAAACGTAATTATTTCACATTTAGACGATTTCTAAAGTCTCTTTAATTACTAAAACTAATTTTTTCTTTCATTTTACTCAATTTCCTAGTTTATTATTCTTAACCCCTTTAATAAAATTAAATTTAATCTAACAATCTAACAACTATAAAATCAAATATAACATTTCAATAAGTAATTTTTTACTTACCTTTCAAAATTGAGAAATTCAAGTATAATAGTATAGAGCATTTAATTCCAAACACGTTGGAGAAATTTTTCTATATTTTTTTTTTCTTCTTCTTTTTTTCCTTCTTTTTCCTTTCTCTTTTCTTCTTTCTGTCTGGTTTGTTTCCTTCGTGTGTGTGTGTGTGTGTGTGTGTGTGTTATATGTGTTGTGTTGTTTTAAATTGGTTTTGGGTGGCCAATTCCATCGTCTCATGATATGCTTATTTTTTATATATTTTTTTTTGTTGAAGTTTGACTTTTCTTCATTTTTTATTTTTTTTGTTTAATGTATTACACACCACCACCCTCTCCTAGGCTCCAATCCATCCCTATTTGTGGAAAAATATTATATATAAATGATCTACTAAATATCAATGTTTAATTTGTTGAATATTGATGACATGAAACATCAATTTATCGACTCACCCTAAGATAATTTGAGCTCAACCTAATTTTTTGACTCGACCTTCTTATGCTTATATAGTTTGTTTAAGGGAGCAGAATATCTCAGCAATGGTATAAATATTTCTATATTAGTGGTTTTCCAAAACATACCATCAACATGTACACTGTATACATACATGATAAATACGTATATAAAGCTAAAAATACACACAAGCTGGCACTTAGACGTGGGTGTTTGCGTGGGTTGTGGCTGAAGGAGATGACAAAGATTGGGTTGGTGACATGACAGCTGATCATCATTCAGACAATTTAAAGCTAAAGCAAAGAAGCCAAAAAAAAAAAATTGGAGTTTTGAATAAGTGATTTTTTAAAAAATGTGTAGTTAAAAAGTGGAAAAATTTTGGATTTACGTACGAAATATTTTATTGTGTAAATGTGTGGCTGAAAATAAGTATAAGAATTAAAAATTTTTGCTTTAAAGTGAGACAAGTAGAGACTTAATATTGTCGTCGACATATTCCTTGTATGCAGTCGGATTCATTTTTATATTACGCGTACACGGTTTTCATAAATTAGTGACCACGTAACTTAAACATAAATCTTTCTGTTTGATTATGTTCTCAAGCTTTTAAAAAGATGCTGCATATATTCTTTAAATCTCGTCTTTAATAAGATAAGTGTTTCCATATATTCGTTTTCTATCTTATTAAGATTCGAGTGTGTATGTGTCTACATATGCACATGCTCTTGTGTCATCGACTTAAACGTGGACTCACCAAAAAACTGAAAAAATCTTAAACTTGCCAGGTTCATGTTTGAGCCAAACTTGAATGATATTTTAAAGTAGTGAAGTTCAACTATCTAATTTGGTTTGATAATGTAATTTTTTTAAGTTAATTGAAAAATAGATTCCCTCTCAACTGCACAACTTTTTGTTAATTAGGTTAGAATCAAACTTTAAGACTAGACAATCCTTAATATCAATCAAAAGAATTAATGAAAGAGCATATATACTGAGATTGTAGTTTTGTTCTTAAAATTAGTTTATTAAACAAAATTACAAATGTACATATGGATAAACACTTACATATGGATTGGAAAAATAAGTCATGTACAAGTTCAAATTAGTTATTAGATTTTATGAAAGAATATCAATTCTGCAATATTATTGACTACATATTCAACAAGCCCACTCTCACATGAAGAAGACAACAAACATATTACATAGATTTTGAGATTAATCCAAGAACATTCCCGATCAGTTTAAAGATCACAATTCACAAACTTCAGTTAAACCTGTTTTAAGACAGATAAACAATCTTATTTCAGGGCAAAATTGTATCTTTGCACACCTGAATTTTAAGAAATGTGGCAATCAGTCCCTCCTATTTAAACAGTGATTTGAACTATATATATTCTAGGGTTTTATATGTAAATCTTCAAATATAAAATAAGAGGGACTAAAATGCAAAACTTCTTAAAACTTTTGTGAGAGAAAAAATGGAAATTTTGCCCTTATTACAGGTCAGAAATTTTAGTAAAAGCCAAGGGATTTCTGAGTCCCTTCTCCACCAACTGCATGGTCCATCTTTGCTTGTTTATTGCCATCCAGCTTCATTCCAAAATGAATGTGAGGAAAATGTGCCCACTGCAAAAATAAAAAATAAAAATATTGATCAGTATAGCTGCTGCATCCACTTCTATTTTCTCTTCCATTCATTCTCATGATGTGGGCAGACAGAATATAAGGTTATTAGCTTAATTTATTTGTTTTTGTTTTATTACTTGTCATTTTTCTGCTTGTCCTTGGAATAGAAAATCTAGGCCAATCAAAATGTACTTTGGACAAGTTGCAAAGCAAGACTGCTGATGATGTACAGTGGCATTGGATTAATAAAAATAAAACATAGAAATTTAATTGCTATTACACAACCCTACATCATCATCCGGTTTTGGAGATAAATAAGGTTTAGTTCACTCCAGTTGGCTCAAATTAACAAGAATTGACATTTCAAGCACAACAATCAGAAATGAGTTTGGTGAGAAAGGGTTAATAGGCAAGAATCAATGCTGCTATGCCTAGAAATTAATTGTTTACTTTAAATGCTTTGTTAAATATGAAATAAATAGAGTTAAAAATTGAAAATCAGCCTTAAGGTTATTCCAATTTTTGCCTACTTTCTTTCATTTTTATTCCAATTTATCAATATGATCATAACATATAAAGCATTGTGTGATCAACCGCACAATGACATTGATATCATACAATTAAGCTCAACTTAGGCTGTCACATAAATATTAATAAATCACTTTATCCATGATAATCCCTATAATATTACTGATGACACAACATATTAGCTTGCTTACATTTTTTGCAGCAGTGCTAAAAGCTTCCCGGTGGCTGATCTCGGGATTGCCAGCTTTTATCCTCTGAATCTCCTCCCTATAAAGTTTGCACCAAATTTTTGTTATCAAAACAGACTTATTTTTTAATAATCTTGACAACCTTTAGACCACATGTCCTCATGGTTAGGAAACGACTTGAATTGCTGGTTAATTAATGAAACGTGTATTTATTGTTGGAAATAAATCCAAGACATAAGAAGATTCAAGAACATAGGCTCTCCAACATATAACTACTTGGTATGGATTTCAAATATTATTGTGGCTATGGAGATTGACTTTTTTGATTATATGGATGTACGATGTTCTTCTTGTCATGAAATATTGAAAACCGGTATAGTTTTGAACAAAGAATTATCAAGGGTCCTCTCTATTTTTTCAATTTTGATTTTCACAATCAGATGAAAAGAAATTTGGTTATACAATCAGTATACAGTTGACGTGTCACTTAAAATTAAAAAGAAAAAAAAGTTGAACTTACTTGATAAATCGATTATATGCTGAAGGAACACGTTGTCTTTTTTCTGGAGCTGTAAATCCATGACAAAATGAAATTCATACTTGATGATTAAATAACATGTGAGTGTTTTGTATAAGAATGAGAGTTGGGGTCAATATTCATACCAATAAAATATAAGCATATAGTAAAAGTAAATTTGTGTGTAAGAAGTAAGAACATAGGCTCAAAGTTACATGACTATATTATCGAGTTCATTAGAAAGAGTTTTCTCACGCCCCCATATATTCTGTACCTAACCACCACATTTTTATCAAGTCTGATTGCTTGGGTCATTGTAACTTTTGATTAGGTATGAAAATGTGTAAAAGGAAATCTAATTAAGCCCAAGTTCAAAATCAGTTATAATATTTATGATTTTAAAGAATTAGCCAAGGATTAATAAGCAAGTTATGGTCCTCAAGCATTATGGTGGATGAAAAATTGGATAGACTTCCTAGATTTCTCTAAGGAAATCTAGCTTCCTTGCTATTAAAGGGGATAAAGAAAAGAAAATAAATGCTTTAGGATGGTGAAAAGGAAATATATATCTTTAGTCTCCATTTCCGTCTCACATCCTTTCCTTCCTAGTTATAAGAATGGACCACATTCATCCTTTTAAGGGTGTGGAAACTACTTCTTCCCTTTCGAATACCAAATATATTGGAAACATACGTTTCCCAGAATTTAAAGTTCATGAATGAGGTAGCTCAATATTATTTGTATTACAATAAAAGATATTCTATGAACTGGATTAAAGGGTCAGTCATCCTAAAATTAGGATTCCAAGGAAAATGATTCGTGGTAAAGTCAAGATACACTTGAGCCAGAAAAACCCGTGCTCCAAGTTCCCGAGTTTAAGTCTCTAGCCACTCATTTATAAAATTAGGTACTTGTCAGCATTTGCCCCCAGGGCATATCTCCCAGTGGCAAAGGGGAGGGCGGATAGGGTTCAGCGCGACAGTGTGTAGAGTTCGATTCCCCGCAAGGTGGAATTGGTTTTGTTGCAAGCGGGAGTTACCATATGGGTTAACAGCCTTGGCCTATCCATATGCTCTCTACCCTGACTCCTGGGAGGCATATCCTGCTATTTACCTCCTCCACGATGGTCCAGGACAGGGTCGGTGGGGGCCCTTAAGGTTGGGGTTCAACCTTTTTTTTAGGTACTTGTCAGCATTTGATGTAAAAAATGAATACGGCCGTGCATGAAAAGGCTTATAGATGAAGTATTTTAACACTCGACTCATAATATTCCTTTAACTACTTTCTATTCCTCACTGCTATCAAAACAAATAATGCTGCTCTAATTAATGAAATGCGGGACAACCTACCATTCGTGGAGAGCTATGGCTTACAAGAAAAAGGTACTGCCTAAAATATAAGCATAATAAGCATATGTTTGAGGATGCCAATGTTACATTGTGAGTTGGACAGTAACGTAATGTCACAATCGCATGACAGATAATGAATGATGCAAAAATGTCAGGTGCCCTTTTTAGTTCTTTTTGATAGAATTCATCAAAATCACTTGATGACAAGTGCGCTTCATGATACGATATTGGTACCACAATTTTGATATATATAATCGAACTCTCTCTCTCTATATATTGATTTATGAGCATATAGCAAATGAGAAAAATCAACTCCAAGATTTTCCAAGGATTAATGTATAATAATACAGTTAAAAAAAGCATAGATAAATCCCTAGTAGAGATGCCTAAAATTAATGGACGCAATATGCCTACGTGCATGCCTATGCGTTTATTTTTCAAGATTCATATCGTTAAGTGTACCCATTTCAGTGAGAGAGAGAGAGAGAGAGCACTTACGTCGTATTGGAGTCAATCGAGGTTGTTCGTATTCATGCTCAAATGGTGCCAATTTGCTGCATTTTGATGATGAACCACATTCTTTGGTAGTAGCAAATTCAGTGACAGACTGTTGTTTCTGGTGCTTCAATCGTGCAAATAAGACATTAACATTAGTCGAATATAACTAGATCAGCTAGGATATACTGGCAAATGAGATGACATTATAGCATTTTACATACTTATTTCTATAGCATAGAAAATAAAGTTTTGCCTAAACAATCAATTTAGAGAAAGGAAAACTAAAAACCATTGCAAGAAAACAGCAAAAAAACCTTAATTTAATTGAGGTAAGGTTGCTAAAAAAATAAAAATGAACAAGATTAGAGAAAGATATCACTTTAAATATTGAAAACATTAAAAAATGGACTTACACATCTCGAGATTGGAACCTAGATTTTAGTTTTTTTTTTTCATCCTTATGTGAGACACTGAAACTAATGCATTAATTACTGTCTTAAATATTTATGGTTGTTTTATTTACTTTAAAGGGAGAAGAACCTGAACTGGTCAAACACACACATACACGTGTGTGTGTATTTGTATAGTTCTATATAAGTGTGAATATATATATTTACCTGAAAATCTTGAAGATGAACAGACTGAAGCAAAGCTCCCATATTAACAGACAGCAAATTAGAGCAATGGCCACATCTGACTGTGACAATGGTCAGCATACTGTTGCATGGAACACTAACCTGCTCGCGTGCATTAATTTCCAGATGCAAATGGAAAAATATACAGTCAGTACTTAATCCAACTCAGCCAAGTTACATTTTACCTCTTTGTATGCGTGAGAGAGTGAGGATGAAGATGAAAAAAGATTCATCTGAAAATGGTTTGAGTTTTCCTACAAAACCCTAACGGCTAAATCATTTCTTTCTTAGTGTACAATCAAGACTTCTTTTTTCAGCAAAGCATCAGCAAAGCCTAAGCCAGGTTTTAGACCTCCATCTAGGCTCCGTGGAAAATTTTAATTCCCCAACCTTTTATAATAAATTAACTTTAAGTAGAAACGGGAGTAGAATCAAGACTTTATTGTTAAGGGGGATAGAAAATGCCAGAAATCTGGGATTAGACTACAAGAAATATTTGGGATCAGAGTGTCTCAAGGAAGAAGAAGAAGAAGGGTAATTACATATCTTGTAAAATGTTTACAGTTCTCTTTCTTGATTTTTGCATATTTATTGAATGAAGTTCGTTAGTGTAGCTTTCACAATAAGGCCAATTTCACTGCAGCCATCACAGAGCCTCACATGGGCAATAATAAGAAGTCATCTTGTGTGAAAACAAGACTATTGTAATTTCTGTTTCCCTTTCCTGATCTGACAGAGTTCCTGTATTTTGTGTGCGTGTGTGCGTGTGTGAGAGAGAGAGAGAGAGAGAGGGGTTTAATTACATTGTAAAGTGTGAAGTGGTGCTGTTGTTGTTCGAAAACTAATAACCCATACAAACACACAATGAGGTGTGTAATAGGCATCAAACTTCGCAAGTACAATTATTGAATGAATTGTAGAATTAAATGAAATAGTGAATAGAAGAAGTGCAAAGATGAAAAATGAATTGCAGAATTAAATGTAAAAGCACAAAACGGCATCAAATATATCAATCAAGTCTTGGACAAGTCATGAAACTTAAATTTACTATTGAGATTAGTAGAATCCTATGAATCAGAGTCACAGATGCCTTAAACTTAGGCTCAAATCCTTGTAAATAGTACTGCCCAAAGTAGGTTTCCAATCAATTCAAACACACTAAATTCATGCTATTTTTGTAGATCCTTAGGGTTCTGCAACCTTCTGAGTACACTGGATTGATTTTTCTTTCTGGGATTTTAGATGTTCATGCGAAAGTTCTTTGAAGTTGCAAAAATTTTCTCTTTTTTTTTTTCTGCTTATCAATTTTATGTGAGAAAGATTTATGAAGAAAAAACCAAAATTGATTAGAAAACAAACATATTTAATTCCTTTTGAGCAAGCCCAAATGGAACCCTTACTTTCCTTTCACATCTATATTTTTTCACCATGAATTCATTGAAAAATCGACATAAAATATCATAGTATTTTGTTTGAAAGAAGTACAAAAATCAATAATTCACCACTTGCATTCCACTTAGAAAAGTAATCTTAAGAGAAAAACTTTTCCACTTGGTAGTGCCAAACTTTTGGGTGAAAATTTGAAAAATTACAAGAAAACAAAACAAACAATTTCCTTTAAAGTTGGATATATCACATGGATCAGCGCCTTCAACATTAAGCACGAAATTTAATAAAATCCTGTACTTGAAGGATCTTAAGGAATTGATAGAATTAAAGTATTATACCGCGAGAATTGTGTTGCAGAAGTTGCAGTGAACGTAACAAACACGTTCGGCACCAGTCATGTCCTGTGACATTTTCGCTGGATCCTCACCGGAGAGGGAACGGTGAAAAGAGTTTATTAACTGAAGAAGGAGAAGCACAAGGAAAGAAGCCAAACAGTAAAGAGAAAAAAGGCTAAGAAAAGAGAAATAAAGAATGATACATACAATACAAGTTGGCCTTATAGTAAAGAGACTGAAAATGTACAAAACTCAGAGATTAGAAGATAGGACTGGTCTGGTCGGAGTAAAGTGTGAAGTCATTAAGTATGCTAGTGGTATACCAAAAAAAAGGGCTGTTTTCTTGAAAGTTTGATTATGGATTTTAGAGATAGAGAAGAAGGTTGGGTAGGCTAAGGGGTGCGTTGGGGGTACTATTATGATTGCTGAAATGAGTGGGTAGGAGTCATCTGTTGTTTTCTAACTGGACTAGCTGGGTTTGTGTGAAGCGGACGAGGGGGGCGAGATATTAATGCTTTGGAATGTTTAGGCCCTTAGGGAATAGAGTGAGATACACTTAACCCTAATTTTAGGGATTATATACATCAAAATTTATAAATTCATTTATTAACAGATGATTTGATGATATTTGATCGGATCAAAATCTCATCAATCAAATAAATAATAATAATAATAACCTTCTTCACTTCCTTTTTGATACCATATCAATCTGTAAAAGATTACATAAATAATGATGTACAAAAAGTATTTTTCTTTCAGAGAGTGTAAACCCTATATAGCTTTAACTTTACATGATGTCTTATTAGAGCAATGCTACAGAAACAAGTTGAAAAACATGTTTAAAAATAGGCTGCACAAGTGTCGATGCATGATTGGAGAGTTTGAAAAATTTTTAAAATATAACATGAAAATCTTTTAAAAATAGAACACGCAACAATTTGCTACCACATCAGTCTGTTTTTCATTTCTTATTTTTTGGCCTGTCTGTTTATCAATGATAAATTTCCGTCTTATTAGCGTTAACTTCGTTTAGTAAGTGAAAGATGTCTACATGTATGGTCTGAATTCGGCATGACAATAGGTTAGTTTTATTTCATGTTTTTTTTTTTAAATGTACCTTGTTTAATTTATTATATACGTACTAATTATATTGCTCGTAAATATTAAGATTACTCGACTTGCCTATTTATCGGCTCATAAATAATAAGACAACTCGACTTGCACGAAGGCTCCTCTGCTTCTTATTCAAGGTTAATTACTTATACGTAATGCACGGGAAGAAATTTAAATTGCTAGTTATTATCGATATCATTTTTTTATAAATGAAAACTAATTAACATTAACTAGATAATGATAAATAGGTTATTGTTTAGTGGAGATTAAAATAAGATTTTTAATAAATTTTGATAAAAGTCGATGAAATGTGTGATTAAAAAATTACGAATCTCATTAAATATGTTATTAAAATTAATTGTTGATTTTGACTTAAATTAAAATTATTTTAATTTTAATCCATACCAAACGAGGCTGGGAAAGAGATGTAGGATAGAAAATTAATCATAGGATTATCCTAAACTAATATGTAAGGAGTAAAGATTAAACGCAAAAAGTCATTCAAACCCTGTTTGGTAGGATAAAAACCTAAATTTTAGTACGAGTTAAAGTCAATAATTTATTACATAAAATCAAAATTTTTTAACTATACGTTTTATTAATTTGTATAAAATTATATTAAAAATATGATTTTAATTCTCGTCAAAAGAAAGTTTAGACTTTGTTTGATTTCCATTTTTTTTCAAAATACATTTTTCTCTTTATTCTTTTCAATCACACATTCTTTATTAAAATAATATTATGAGTAAATAAAAAAATTTCTTTATTTTTCAACTATACATTTCTCATCATTCTACTATTTTAAAATACATTCTTTCTTTTCATAAAAATGGTGTACACACACTTTTTAAAATGAAGAAACAAAAGGGTCCCATATACGTCAAATAAGAAATAAGTGTGTAGACATGACAGCTTACATGCAAAGAATTGTAAAGATTTGACAACATACACACGTGATATGTTATAAAGTCAAGGAATATTATTATTTATCCCTAGAAATAAAATGAAGAGATATTTGGAGTATTTTTTGAGGAAAAATTAGAAATTCACCTTGCGAGGGCTATAGTCATAGAAATTAAACTTTAAATATGAAATTATTGAGAAAGGTTTTTTTAACATATTATTAATATAAAAAATATGTGTATTGATTAAATAATGAGAATACAAGAACTTTAGAAAAATTTTAGAAGTTCTAAATACGAAGAAATGAAAGATTGGGTAAAAGGAACTGATGATATGTCATATAAATTTATTGATGGATAAACTTATGATGTATCTCAACATTTGAATTAAATTTAAAATTCATCTATAAATTTATATGACACGTTATCAATTAGTACTCATCTATATATATATATATTCATGGTGAATGGATAAAGTCTTTCATAAAATATACTTGATGCACCTAGCATTATGTACTTTACAGGCTTTTACCATCTCATCAATTACTGTCCATATGATGTTTACAATTCATATGACTTTTTCTGGTGAAATTATTTTAATGTTTTATGTTTATACAATATGGTATATCCACCATTTCTAGCATTGTGCAAAGTCTTGTTTATATATTTTATATAGTAAGTACATATTTTTATGGTCCATATGTAGAAAATAACCAAACTTCTGCCCTTTAGGTATTTCGTCCAAATTTAATTTCTTTGTAAGGAAAGAACTGAAGAGAATACGTAAAGGATATAAAATATCAAGATCTAGTTCAAATGGTAAGATCGAAACCTTCCAAGTGAATGAAACTGAGTTCAAGTCTCTAAGAAGACAGTCCTTCAATTCCCTTTAAAAAAAAAAAAAGAAAAACACATAAAACATACGATAGTGGAGTTTTTGATTTGAGGAAGGAAGATAGTAGGAATACAATCTAAAAGGTAAAAATTATTTTAATGGATCCAATCCCATAAAAAGTAAGGGTGAAAATGGTTCTTGATCAATCAACTTTATCTAAATGTATTTTATATGTTAAAGTGGCTTCTATGTCGAAAAAAAATCAATAAATATTGTATATATTATGGTTATTTTTATTATTATTGTGAAATTCTTTAGTAGAAAAAATAACTCAACTGTCCTAAATATTTTTGGTCTTGTGGATTCACTAAAATTCAAGGAGAAAAGGTCAGAATTTACAAATTTATAAAACCATTTATAATTTTTGTAAATGAATCTCCGGGCGAAACGTGTCCAGGTCAATTCTCTTAATTCCAACTGGAAGTGTTGGGGGCCACTGTTTATGTTCCAAGAAACCAGTGCTCCAATTAATCCATCAATCATTTCTGAGTCATAAATTATAAATTCATCGTGGAATTATAAATTTTTAATAGAAAAGTCTTGCTTTAAGTGTGGGTCGATTATGACATATTTAGAACGTAAAAATAAGATGGATGGTTAAGTTTTATTGAGATTAGATATAATACATTTGAGCGTTTACTTAATTGACACATTGCTAGCCAGCTACAAATTATTCGGATAAGAATCAATGTTCTTATGTAATCATTTCTCATTCATTTATAGTGGAGAAATCCAACTTTGCTTGAGGTTGCTGCGTCAAGAGTTCGAATCCTGAAATATGGATTTGGCTCTTGGGTAAGTACAAGTGTACAAGCAGCCTTTCACCCTGTACCCTTGGAGGCATAACTTGTGATTTACCTCCCTCACGATACTCCAAGGCAAGGGTGGTGGGCGACCCTTAAGGTTAGAGTTTAACCTTTTTTTTTTTTTTCAAGAAAAATGATCTATTACTTGTCAGAACATGGCATGTGGATCCATTGGTGGATGGCAAAATTAATTCAAATCTTGAAATGCCATGTCACAGGTGTGAGCATAAGCTAAGCACGATACTAAAAAATAATTAATGAAACACAATGTCTAGTAGATTATTTTTCTATAGTTGAAACAATAGAAACTATCATATATATATATATCATTCCGATATCATGTTAATGCATAGCTTATTTTGTTGTAGGCTTTTTTTTTTATGAATCAACTACTGTACGTCGCAATGCTTTTATTTTTTTATTTTTTATTTTTTGTGCGATTTTCTTCGTTATGTTTTACTTGAGAAGTAAAGAAAAATAGAGCATAAACGGTTAAGCTTAAAAAAAATAAAGTTGATTTTAAATAACTTCTTATCTCTAAACATTCCTTACTTTTTAGTAAAAATGGCTTATTTTGGAAGCAATTCTCACTTTATTGTCAAGATAAGTAATTAACTTATCTCTATCTTCCATAAATAAATTTTATTTATAAGCAAATTTTTAAAGCTTAGACAGATATGCTAAATGCTAAATTCATTTACAGGCAACTTTATCCTTAATTAGAAGTTAAATTATATAAAATATATTTATTTAAAATCAAATTCTGCTGGTAACAGGTACATCCTTTCCAGTGGGCCTGACTTGAGAGAAGAGAGGAACAAGCACTCGGTCAGATCCATTGCAAAATTTGGGCCCATTGGACAAGAATCCATTACTGGGGTCACAACAAATCAAATCAAAAGGAAATTTTCATATTTAACTCATTACGAAATAAATATTCAAGATTTACTATGTAATTTTTATAATCCAAGTATTACTTTGATATATGGTTAATATTTTGAAAAATACGATATACCCAATTTAGACTCTAACTGAAATTAATTTTAATTACGCTAGTATTAAGTTGGTCATTAGAGGGGAAAAAAAAAAAAAAAAACTTTCATCGGCCAAACCATAACAACACTTTTTGGAATTTTTTTCCAAATCCATCTATTAAGAATGTTCCCTCGTAGAAGCACATAATTTTTTGTTTTAGGACTCAATAAATTTCAGCACATAATTTTTTGTTTTAGGACTCAATAAATTTCTAATTCACGACTCAATAATCCATCCAAATATGTACAATTTGCAGAAGCAGAAACATATGGTCAAGTGTCATCTATTATTATTTATAAAATTTTGGTAAGTGGCGTGTTTGGTGGCATATATATAGCTTATAGTTGATTATTCAGTATAAGTGAGGCGATTTACATTTTTTTTTATTTTACTATATTTTTAGCAGTATATATTGAATAAAATTAACGACAATGTAATTGTATCGAATACTTACCAGGGTGTAATTTCCTCCAAATATCAAAACTAAAACCTACTTTCGGATTCTTTAGGCATATAGTATATACCCAACTTTATATTACCCCTTCTCATTTTTTTTTATTATTATTATTTTTTTTTTGAAATAGAGATTCAATAGTACCAAATTTGGATTTGAATAAAAAAATAAATTTACTGAAAAATTAAATCATTTTAAAACTCCTCTTTTTACCAAAATTTTCCACACTCCCATAATTTTCTCACTGTTCAAATTGAAAAAATAATTGCAGATTATCAT